ATTCCAACCGCGAGTTATACGGGCTGTTTGGTTAAAGAATGGCGAATGTTTCTTTATAAGGAAACAGCTATTACTATTTTCATTTCTTAAATTTACCTTGACTGTAAATGAACAATTCACGAATTTATGTCTTAAAAACTACTACACTATATACACTACTGATATAATATTTATCCTGAATATAAATATACTAAACACGCTGCATTATTTACTTATTCGGACTGTTATCCCCATCTTCACTGCCCTATTCACAATATTTCGGCCATTGTACGCTCCGGCCTTCTTCGGGTGATTGGAATTTCGAACCGAACCCTTTATTTTTTTCCGCCGGGGTAGATTGTTCTAGTTCCACGTGCCATGCATCTTCCGGATGCCTCAGTTACTTCCCTTTAACTCAACTGTACAAGTTTTTGTTCACAACTGTTGTGGCCTGGTATTGAACTCACAACTCTTTGGGGCTAGTTACTGAATGGCCGGAACGTTATGAATATGGCAATGAAGATAAGTATTCCCCGGAAGAGGCATGACACAAGGAACTAGAACAATCTACCCCGGTGAAGGAAATAGAGAGTTCGATTCGAAATTCTAATCACCTGAAGAAAGCCGGAGCTTACAACGGCTGAAACGTTGTGAATATAGCAATGAAGATCAGGATAATAGTCCGAATAATGTAAATAATGTAAGTAATCATAATACCTCATCTCAAAGATATAGACAGATACTAAGCACGTATCTGAAAAAAAGTTATCATGAACAAAAACAAAAATAACTGATATGAGGGGATAATTATGAGCCAAGATTCGTAATCAGGCTAATTAGTGAAGTCTATTACATAATTGTTTGTTTTGGTTAAATTTATTTTCTTTTTTTTTACAGGCTGTTATCATCTTTATATTATTACAAACCTTAATAATTGTAAACAAAATGTTACAATCGACATAATGTCTCTTTCCTTTTAAGCCTTTATTCAGGTCATTTATATCATTATTTTGAAGTATTTATATAGCTAAATCCAAGCAAAATTTATCAACTAAAAATATTTTGAAAAACAGAAAATGAAAACCAAATTTTTAGCTGGATTCCACTTTATTTTTTCACTATAATATTTTGAATTTCTGTAGAAGCGTTAAATGAAACACATCTTGAAAAAAAAAACCGAGGAAGATATATGTATATATGTATTTAACCGGCTTCAGTAAAAAATCAAACATAACGTTACTTTCTCATCCGTTCTTTTACCAAATTTCTTTTTGTCCTATAACGGAAGTAATTAAAAGATAATTTATAATTGAAAATAATAAAAATATAATTTTAATCTATGAAATTAAGCATTATGCATCGCACTCCCTGGTTTGTGTTAAAGATTTTAGTTTAAATTTTCGCTATGTTTAGGTCGACGATAATTCATTTGTTGTCCACTGTTATTTTATCATCGATCTCATTCTGAACAACATTTTTTCCAAAAATAATTCACATTGACATCTAGGAAATTGCATCCCAGTTATCTATAAGTGAATAACATTGGTATAATCTCTCTTCATAATACTTTTCATAATAATGAAATAGCAGCTCGTACACACAAAATGTGCTTAAGTTACATTGGATTTATGACGCCTTTCTCAAGTATTTTGAAGGGAAAATGCAATTTACAGATATTAATTCGTCAGTGCGAGTTGGCACTTCAGACTCAATTCTTCACACCCTATGAAGAAACCAGTAAACCATTGTTTAATGAAAAAATTTACGGAATCTCAGCAATTATATATATTTCCAGTGAAAACAAGAGAGAGAAAAATATTTGGCCGAACACGAGTAATATAAAACACGGAACAAAAATCACGATTAAAACCTTTCTCACTATATACGAGGGTCAGCTGAAAAATTCATAATCTGAACAAGATATAAATGTAAGTGGATCAGATGACATGCAAGTGACCAGCAGTTGTATTCTGGTACACTTGCATGTCTTTAGTCTTTGTACATAGCTCATTGTGTTTCCTAGAAATTTAAAAGTTGCAATATTTCATGGCAAGACATCCTTTATTTGAGCAAAGGCTTTCGGTTTCCGATACGAAAAAGGTTCGTTGATGCATTTTCCAGATGTCACATCTAGCATTCAGGCAAAACCTAAAACCAGATTCT